TGATGGATATTTGTCTTTTTCTTTTTTTATTATTAATTTTAATGTAAGTTTACAGGGACTATGGATTTCCATTCATTCATTGTTGCACTTTTCTCCCTGCCCGCCCCTCCCCCCTTTGTCTGCTCTTCTATTTGAAAAGTAAAATTCTTTCATTGTTATACAATCCCTTCCCCCAAGTCCACTCCACTATGCAGCCTTCGTTCTGGACTCCTGTCATGACAATAATCCCTTTTAAACAGTTCTCTCCCTCATCTGTTTCAATGCAGTATACATTATTTATCCCATCTTTCTCAGACTCTCCCCAATCCCGATGCCAGTCCTGTTTTACAACCGTGGCACTATACAGTATTTGTCCTTTTGTGACGGAGATATTTCACTCAGCATAATATCCTCCAGGTTCACCCATTTTCTATAATATTGCATGAGTTCCTTGTTTCTCAAAGCAGCATAGTATTATTCCATTGTGTGAATATACCACAGCTTCTCTATCCGTTTGTTGATGTGTCTTTATTGTTGATGGTGGATTAGTGGTTGAGGAGTTGCACAGTCAACCAAAAGGTTCACGGTTCAAAGTTACCAGCTGCTCCAAAGGAGAAAGGTGAGGAGTCTCGCCCTGTGCAATTTGTTGGAACCAACTAATAGCTGATCCTTCAGCGGGTTTTCAGAGGCAGTAATCACAGGGGAGAAGACTGCCCATATGTCTCCTACAGAGCAGCCACTCAATGCCTTTGAAAACACGCTGGAGTGTCAGCTGTGAAGTCGGTCTGACTGGATGGTACACCATTGTCTTTGAAGCTCATGCCTGAGGTCACACGTTATTGTTGTTGTTAAGTGCTGTCAGTCGCAGGTGACTCATAGCGATCCTATGAAGGAGAGTTCTCGACACTTGGGTGTCTTTCATCCTCTCTCCAGGTTCACTGGGTTTCCGGAGGCAAGCTATTATGGAAGTGGATGCCACTCCTTCTTCCAAGGAGGTCACACATTACAGAGGGTTAAATCCTTCATCTTTTGGTCTTCTCCTGTTACATGTTTAGAAATAATTTGAAAGCTATTTTGGCTCTTGTACTTTTCAACTGGGTTAAGGTAAAATACTCCTGATGAAGGCAGTGAGCTTTAAGGGCTTTCCAGATCAGCGTCCTGAACATGAGCTTATGTTTTAAGATAATTGTTGCTGTTTACTGTCCAGTTGGAACTGACTCATTGCTGATTTTCAGAGGCTATAAGTTGCATGGGAGGGCACTATCTTTCTCTCATAGTGCTTTAAGATTAGGAAAACATCAAGACAGGAACTTTTGTGTAGGGAGGAGGTAGTTGTTGTTGTTGTTATGTCCCATTGTCCCATGAGTCACCTGCAACTCACAGCGACCCTTTGTACAGTAACATTGAACCCTGCCCTACTTTACTGCCTCCAACAGACCTAATCCCATTTTTTCAGTCACTGAGTCAATCTATCTCACCCTGGCTCGTCCTCTCCTGCGCTGTCCCTCCACTCTTCCCCGCATGATGTCCTTCTCCCTTCTGGCCACGTGCCCAAAGTACATGAGATAGAGCCTCAAAAATCCTTGCTTCCAGGAAGCAGTTTGGTTTACCCTCTCCAGAACAGACCTGTTTGTTCTCCTGGCAGTCCACGGTATGTCCAACACTTTTCTCCAGCACAATTCAAAGGCATCAATTCTTCTTCTATCATCCTCAGTTATATGTCCAGCTCTCTGATACATAGTAAGCAATTGTGAAGACCATGGCCTGTTTCAGGCACATCTGAGTGTCCAGACTGACATCATTGCTCTACAGTGCTTTAGAGAAGTCCCTGACAGCAGACTTTCCCCAGTGCAACTTGTGTTTTGATTTTCTGACCGCGGGTACCAAGAGTGTTGAGTGTGAAACCAAGTAAGCTAAAGTTGTTAACAATCTCAATCTCTTCTCTGACTATCAGGAAGCTGCCAGTTGGCCCAGTGGTGAGAATCTTTGTTTTCTTGATATGGAGCTTTAATGCATATTGAAGGCTGCAGTCCTTGACTTTCTGCAGCAAACTCCTCATGTCCTCCTCAGTTTCAGCAAACAAGGTTGTGTCATCTGCTTAACGCAGTTTGTTGATGAGTCTTCCAATCCTGATGCCACATTCTTCTGCATAAAGCCCAGTCTCCCGAATGATCTGTTCTGCATATAGGTCAAAAAAGTATGGAGATAGGATGCATCCCTCCCTAATGCACACCTTTTTGACCTTGAACCATGCAGTGTTTCCCTGCTCTGTTCTGACTACTGCATCCTGGTCCAAGTATAGGTTTCATATGAGCACAGTCAAGTGTTCTGGGATTCCCTTTCTTCTCAGAGTCAGCCACAATTTGTTGTAATCCACATAGTCAAAAGCCTTTGCATAGTCAATGAAACACAGAACGACATCCCTCTGGTACTCTCTGCTTTTGGCCAAGATCCATCTAGCATTATTGGCTGTGATATGCCTAGATATCATAGAGGCTATGATAGCCTCTTCTAAACCCAGCCAGGATATCTGGCAGTTCTCTGCTGAGGGGAATGTAAAATGCTGCACCCACTACAGAAAGGGGTTTGGTGCTTCCTTAGAAAGTCGAGTCTAGAAATCCCATCTGATCCAGCAATCCTACTATCAGGAATATATATTTCAAAGAAATAAGAGCAGTGACACCAACTGACATAGACATAAGTGTTTATTTACAATAGCTAAGAGTCAGAAACAACTCAAGTGTCCATCAGCTGTCAACTGCCAGAGAAACTATGGCACATTCACATATTAGGGAATATTATTATACATCACTACAAAACTGTCAAGAATTCATTAAAAACTGCCCAACATGGATGAATCTAGAACAAATTATGCTACATGAGTCAGTCATAAAAGAACAATTGTTGCATGTTGTTTTGTTGTTGTGATTGTGTACCATAGAGTCAGAAATGACCCACAGCTGACTCTCCAGCAGGTTTTCAGAGGCAGTTAATTGCACAGGAGGAGAATGCCCATTCCTCTCCCATGGAGCAGCTAGTGGCCTTGAACCACATGTCTCTGGGATTGCACCACAGCTTCTTGCCACTAGGCCACCAGAGCTCCAAACTGTGGCATAGATTGCTTTTATATAAAGCTAAGGAACAGTTTGCAATGACAGAAAAGGAAAATCTTGAAAGGTTAACAGGGACTAGAAGAGAAAGATCAAGGAGTAAAAATAAATGGGCAAATATGGGGGAAGGGAAAGGCAATATATAATAAGAGTTTGACTAGGTAGTATAATAAATTAATTACATTAATTAAAAAATGGCAATTAATGCTATCAGACAAAATGTGTATGAATGAGTGAATGAAAAGACAGTCTGATTCATAAGCTTTCACTCAAATACAAAAGTACACATACAGGGACTCCTTTTAAGCAAGTCACTCATCCATTCAATGCCTTCAAGTTGGAACCAACTTATAGCAGACCCTCCAGTGGATTTCCAAAGAGGAGACTTCCTGCCTGTCTTTCTCTCATGGAGTTTCTGGTGAACTTGAACTGGCAGACAGGCGGAGCCTCTGGGTTAGCAGCACAACTCCCCACAGACGACACCACTACTATACACCTGTACCAAAAATCTAAAATAATTTTGAGAGTGATACATCAGTTCACAGTAGCACTAAGGACTCTGGCAGTTGGCTAATTTCTCTGAATCAGCAGACATGTGTGGCTAAGAAGAGTTTTCTAGTGAAAATCTTTATTGCCTTTAATTCTTTCCCAAACCCTAGTCTTATTTTAAGATATGACTTTGGTAAAGGTCCGGGGGGTTTTGATCCCTAGGTCATTAACTCAGGCAGCAAGAAGACTGGAAAATTCCAGGGACAAGTAGGCACAAATTATGAGACGAATTCCAAAATCTTGGAGGTTTTTAGAAGCTATTTTTTAAGAGTATGACTGCATTGTGAATACTGTAATTAATGTTATAAAACAAGATGTATATGAGTGGGTGAATGGGAAAACAATTTGCTTTGCAAAGTTGCACTCAAATCACAATTGAGGGGGAAAGATCACCATACTCAAAGGAGACAATTTTTGTATTTAAGATAAACTGTTGTTTGCTTAACAGACTTCAGGGGCTGTGTTTGTTTGAAAGTTTAAAGTTTATGTCAGAGCAGTCATTTTGGGGGATTTCTCAGCCTCAATACTCTGGAATGTCTGGCTGGATTCTGTAAGAATTTGAAATTCTCTTCTTTGTATTCCCTCTTTTGATAAGGATTATTCTGAAAAATGTTATATAAAAATGTTCAACAATGGTAGCCAGGCACCATCCAGTTCTTCTGTCTTATGACAAGTTAGAAATCGATTATGAAATGAAAGAAATATACATGTTTGGCTGTGTACCTTTGAGTTGGAAATGGCCCATAACTGACCCTCCATTGGGTTTTTAGAGGCAGTAAATCACAAAGGAAGAGACGGTCTACAGTAAATCATAAGGGAAGAGATTCAAACTGGGTGCCTTTTGGGTTGGCGGTATAACTCTTGACTATTAAGCCACCAGAGCCCCCCATGTACATATGATGTCATTATTATTAAGAAGATATTTTAAAGGGAGCTCTGGTGGCCTAGTGGCAAGAAGCTGCGCTGCAATCCCGAAGGTGCATGGTTCGAATCCAACAGATGCTCTGCTGGAGGAGGGGCAATCTACTCCTGTACCAGTTGGATACCACTTGACAGTACACAGTAAGAAATTTTCTTTTTTTCTTTAAAAAAAGCGATTTTAATTCCTCCTCCTAACCCCAATCAAGGGTAAAAAAAAGGACTGTTCCTCACGCTCTAGGTAAAAGGTCAGCAGTTCAAACCCACTAGTTGCTCTCCTTAAGATTAACTAGTCTTTGAAATTCAGTAGAGGGGTTGTTATGAGTCAGAATCAATTCCCTGACGGTGGGTTTTTAGCGAGAAACAAGAAGTGTTTGTCATCCCTTCCTTTTACACCTATGATCTAGTTGGCTCATCATTCTCAGAAACAAACTCTTTTCTGGGTTAGGAAATTTCATCATGAGACTTGAGATACACTGGTTTAGAAAGCTTCCTCAGTTTCTCCTGACTCCGAAGTTTTCGACCTTGAAGTGTGGTAAGGCCCATTGGAGGCAGATGAATCTGAATAATAATGAGAATAACAATGATATTAATAATCTTCATCACAATCCTAGTAGCAGTTTATGTTCACTGAGACTTTACGAAATAGCAGACTCCTTGCTAAGCACCAGGTCTGTAACGACTCCTTAATCTCCATATTTTTATACACATTAATCCTTATAATAATCTCACAAAGAATTATTCTTGATTTTTGTAGATCAGAAGCAGAGGCCCAGAGGGTTACAATAATTTGCTTAAGAATATCTATTAAGTGGTGGAGATGGGATTCAAAGTCTGACATTTCTGGTGTCAATGTTTGTGCTCTTTGCTATACTGCCTGCATGGAGGAAAATGATGACCGCGGATGCAGCAAGATGGGAATCCAAACATGGGGAATATTATGGGCTGAATTATGACCCACAAGAAGATATTCTGAAGTCTAAACTACCTGTGGACAACAACAACAAACTACTTGTGAATGCATCCTAGAAGAAGCTGTCAGTTAACGTGAGGTCCTGTTGCAACAGGGTGGGTCCTGATCCAATCAGACTGATGTCCTTATGAAAAGGCAGCCACAGAGGAGAGATGTCCATGGGACAAGGTAGTTGTGTTGCAGCCCCAAGCCAAAGGGCAACCATGGCTAGGAGAGAGGGAGGGAAGGATCTTCCCCTGCCGCCTTCAGAGCACATGGCCCTGTCTACACCCTGATTCAGGCTGTTAAGATTCCAGGCAGAGAATACATTTCTGTTGTTAAAACCACTCAATTCCTGCCACTTTGTCAAAGCAGGGATAGGAAACTAATATGGGAGGTGGGGTGGGGGGAGCATGTGCAGGCAAGAGAGATGAGCAGGAGCTGAGGAAGCCTTGGTGGCACAACAGTTAAAGTGCTCCTCACCTAACCAAAAAAAAGTCAATAGTTTGTATCTACCAGCTGCTCCATGGGAGATAGATGAGATAGCCCGCCTGTGTAAAAATGACCAGCTTGGAAACACTACAGAGCAGTTCTTCTCTGTTCCGTAGGTTCATGAGGACTTAGAACTCATTTCATGCAAACAAGTAACAGGAGGCTGGTTAAATTAGGGCACATTCATAAAACAGCACCCCATGAAATGACCAGAGAAGGCTGAGTAAGAACTATATACAAAGATATCCAGATACATAAAATAAAACAGACAGCAAAACTCTATACGCACTCCTTGTTTTCAGAAGTTGTTCTGGTTGGTTGTTGAAATGAAAAGAAAATCAGACCAATGCAGGGAATATGAGCACAGAGTGCTCTGTGTAAGGACGACATGCAAACTCATAAAGTGCCCGAAAATAAAACAAAAAAAACAAAGCTGTAGGTTCAACAGGGACCCGTGTATGTAGATGAACATAGGGGAAGAGGACTTATTTCCAAACTGCTAAAACTGAATAAACAATAAATAAACTGAACCAATAGTAAACGCAACCAAACTATTAAATGGAACCAATATAATAATGCAATTTCTGGTGGTAATATTGTCGTGTAGGTCTTAGTTGATAACAGCAATTTGTCATGGTCCAGTTTCAAAGTTAACTGTAGTCACTTCTGGGGGTAAGGGTTTTTGCCAATTTCCATTTTCTACATTCCTTGAATGTTTGAAGTTTATTCTTTTATGACGAGCCTATATTTTTGGTTTTGGTGGGGTTTATTTTTCAGAGTTTTATTTAATATTTATTGTAATGGGGGTCCGTGCAAGGAGGGGAGGGAACACACAGGGGACGACATGGCCAGGGCCACAGCTTTAGTGTGGAGGAAAGTTGAGAGAGCCTATGTTTTTTTAACAAGAAATCCAATAGTATTTCCATAGAAAGGGCAAAAGTTAAAAGCAGCAGCTATGTATTATGTTCTGCTTGGAACATAATAACAGGCAGGAGAACGCAGGCACTCACTGACATTTGAATTTGTTGCAACAAATTGGTAGCAAAAGAGCTTATCTCCGATATGCCTCCTACTGTAGCTCTGGGAAGCTGAGCGAGCCTGAGCGCTCTCTGAACACATTCTTGGAAGTAACGATGTTGATAAGGATGAATTCTCCCCACAGGTTAATTGGAGTCACACTTACTGGCCTTGGGTAAGGAATCTGGTAATGCAGTCCAATTTCAATCCTGGCAGTGCATTCGTCTATACACTGTTTAATCAAATCTGGGTCTGTGAGCTAGTAACAAGAGGAAACAGATGAGGCAGTTAGTATTTTTTTTAAAATGCTACAGAGAGTATGTTGTTATTGTTGGGTGCCTCTGAATGAATTTCAACTCATAATGACGCCATGTGCCAGAACATCACTGCCCTAGAGGGTTGCAGAATATGCAGCACTTCTCGCTTGGAAAGATGGGGGGTCGATGGAGGAGAGGAAGACCAGCAATGAGACAGAGTGGCATAGTGACTGGTCAAGCACCATGTAGAATAAGCACAGTGGAGACCGTGGGCGTGGCACACGATCCGCCAAAAAGGAGCCGGAGTTGACTGGATGGCATGTAACAGCAACAACAACAATAGAGGGTTATCTAGGCAGTAAGCTTTACAGGAACAAATTTCCAGATCTTTTCCCATTGAACTGCTGAGTGAATCAGAACCCCAAACTTCCAGCTAGCTATCACCTAATTAAGCTGAAAGCTTAATTGTTTTGCTACCACGGTCCTTATATAAACTATAGGTGTACATGTCCTTACAGTTTTTCAATTCATTACCACTAAGTTAAATATTGATGATTTGGAAAAGCAAAAGCAACTTAACAAATACATTTACTGTGGATTCAACTTTTCAAAATTGTTCAAATATTTGCACATGGTAAGTATGTCTCCCTTGCACCTTAGTCCCTTCTTACATACTATAATTAACAGTTTCTTGCATGCCTTTCCAAAGATAACCTTTGTCTATATAAGCAAACACACACACACACACATTCACACAAACTATTTTTTCCTCATATATTAATGACAGCTGATTTTTTTCTGAACCTTGCTTTTCCCTTAGCAATATTACTTGAGGTTCCTTGTAAATTCATACATATGGGATTGCCTTATTATTAACAGCTGAACAAGAGTCCAGTGCAAGGTTGTGCCATTATTTAACTAATCTCCAACTAACGGACATTTAGTTTCTTTACAATCTTTCGCCATAACAAGATATTCTGCTGTGGCTTTCTGTAAGAATTGGTTTTTGTATTTATTTGCAAACACCTGAAAGATCAGCTCCTAGAGAGAGAGATTAGCTGCCCCAAAGAGTGGATGTTTATGTATTTTTTATTCCGACACATCTTAGCATCTAGAAGGTGGACCAATATTCATACCAACAATGAATACTCTATTTTTTCTGGTCTATCAACATTATCTAAGAGTGCTTCTCCAGCCCTGTCCATGTCGATTCCATTTCATTATAGCTCAATTGTTTCAGCCCATGCAATCTAGAATCCCCAAGTGAGACACTGAAGAATGCTCCGCCTCTCATCTGCCTTGCCCACTCTAAAGGAGAAGAGAAAAATTCCAAATTAGCCACATCATGGAGATCTAGTTTCCAGTAAAAAAAGGATGAAAAGTTCACGCTGGGAAGCCAGAAAGGAGAAGGGGGAGAAGCATATCCATTCCGAGGATGGAATGTGAGTCAATAATGTGGCTCAGCTAAGGGTTGTAAGTGCATCTCAAAGCAGAACTGTGTTGCATCAGCCGCTGATGACACCAGCAGTGATGTTGGGGCCTGTGTGGTTTGGAAATTCCAAGGCTGTTCCTCTCTTAGGGTGCCTCTTGGAGCTGAGAAGAGTTCCTGGAACAGCAATGCACAGAACCGGAGCTGAATCCCTCGGTGCAAAGACTCCACTTTCTGAACTCTGTGCTTCTTAGAAGCTGTTGCTCTCGGGTCTACCTTGGGAATACATTTCCCTATTCCTACATGCTCCCTGGGATTCAGAGCAATTAATGAGGTGTCTCTGGATTATTAAGCTCTTACAATGATGTGGGAGGTGACAGGCTACTTAGAGCTGCATGTGTGAGAAGGAAAAAACCCTTGAGAAAAACAAGGGAAGGATTGTTGGGGAGTTGACAATGGAAAGCTGGGGCCCTTGCCCTCCAGATCTGAACAAAGTTGGGCCAGAGTCCTCCAAACATCAGTCTCTCATGGGCTGCTTGTATGATTTTGACCATATTTACGTACTACCTACTCTAATATTAATATTTTTCTTTATTCTTTCTTAAGCAGCAATATTTGCAAAACTGTGGTCTGTTGGTCCATTTTCCTGTTACTACATGATAGGACAAGTATGAGCCCCGGTGTTATAGTCATTATGAGCCAGGCTGATAACCAAAAGGTCAGAAGTTCAAATCCTCCAGCTGCTTCATGGGAACAAGAAGAGACAGAGCTTGCTTTCTTTAAGATATATCATCTCA